GGCTGGAAGGCTGCTGTGCTTCTGGAAGACTGAGAAGGACATCTGTATCCTGAGACAGGGAGTGCCCTGAGAGGGAGCCCACCTGCTCCATGGCTAGGAGCCACAAAACCCAGGCCCCTGTTCATGTACCTCAGTTGTCCTTTCATTTAAGAGAATAGGGACTCGACTTTCTGGGGACCCCCAGGCTGGCCTCCTAACCCAAAGAATGTCTTATGGAACATCCTGGTCCCAGACGTGTACTACACATATGTGCAGGGTGGGAGCCATGTGTGCCCAGATGCAGAGTCACAGCCACAGCGTCTGCTGCCTAGAGGCCAGAGGTGCCAAAGCAGAACCTTTGGGCTCTATAACCTCCTAATGTCTCACAATTGGCCTCTACTTCCATGGCCCCTAGAAAACATTCATTGGCCAACCTGTCAACCCCAGACCCTGCCCTCAGAAAACAACATGGAGGCTCTAATGAGGATGTTGGAAGAAAGGGGAAGCTAGAATACCCGCCCCAGGGAGCACCAGCATTCCTGTGAGAGGAACACAATTCCAGGTCCTGGGAAAGGGATCGGAGGGCAAGAAGATCATCCCAGAAACTGGGAAACTCTGCCAAGACACAACTAATAACTAATAGCAGGAAGGAATGGTAAGTGGCTGGTTTGGAAGGCAGGATAGACAAAGGACCAGGGATGGAGAGTTACTATCTAAAGCCCACCTCCCTGCCTGCTTCCAGTCACCTAGGGCATGAAGTGGGCATTCCCTCTGGCCCTTCCTCTTCTCTGTCCATCCCTCTAGGCTCCTTGTGCTGACCACCTGACAGGTGCTGTAGCAGAGGGGGATCAGGGAGTCTGCTTGCTACAGATCCAGAAGCCTAGGCAGACCCTTCATGCTGAAGATAGACACCCAGTGCTTGGCTGCAAACCCAGGTCCCTGACATGGGTCAGGGCCCTCAGTCACCACCACAGGCTGGAGCTGGTCCTTTCCCAGAGTTCAGGGACCAGAGTCTACTCAGAAATGACAGGACCCTGGCAGCAGACAGCTGCTCTTCCTTCCTAGAGCTGCTGCCCTGCCCCTGCTCCGGCCACACCCAAGGCCTGCCTGGTGGGTAAACATCAGAACAGCTTACTTTAGGTCAAGGCAGGCTGTCTGATGACCTTCCCCTAGGAGCCATGAAAGTAGTTGAGGCTAAACTTTGGGAGGCCATGGAATTCCAGGGCTCTGCTTTAGCGCTTCCAGCCTCTAGGCAGTCAACAGAGGCTGTGGCCCTCACTAGTTCCATGGAATGATCAGCAATGACAGTCCCTCTTCACAGATAAGACAATGAGGTGAAGGGACTGCAGACATGTCCCAGCTGCCCAGTCCTGTAATGTTGGATCCATTACCTCCAAGCATGGAGAGGGCCATGGCACACGGAAAAACAACTGGACAAACCGTGACCTGGCCTGGGGCCCATGGAGGGGGCGTGTGCTACAGCCTGTGGCTCCCAAGGCTTGGCAACCCCGGCAAGGCCAGGCTGTGGCCCAAGCTGGCTAGTCTCAAGGACAGAAGCCCACAGGAAGTTTACAGGCTTTGGCAATGAGAGGAACCTGTTAGGGTTCACAATGGAAGAAGAGGGCCTGTTGAATGGGTGCAGCTTTTGGGGGTGGCTAACTTTGGATAGAGGGTGGATATGTAGGAGAGGTGCCTGGAGACTGGGGAATGATTCACCAGGATAGGAGCCAGTTATCTCCTAGAAGCATAGCATCTCTGGGGAACTCAGAGGCAGAGCAAAGAACCTCTGATTTCAGGACAAGATGGGGAAACTGAGCAGGGTTGAGAAGCCCAGGAGGTTCTAGGAGGGGCCACAACCCAAAGCAAAAACAGCACTAACAAAGGCAACAGGGAATAGAGCTCCCAGGAATACTGAGGCTCTCCTGTTCTGCATGGTGTTCTGATGAGGACACACAGTCCTGGGGGCATAGGACCTGGCCCAAAGTCCTCAGCAAGTTACCAGTGACCAAATCATGTCCTTGGGGACTCACCTATGGGTATGTCACAGTCACTCACCCAGAGTAGCCTGGCTAAGGCCAGCCCATAAACAGTAAGAATACAGTTCTGGCTAACTGCCAGAGCTCTGGGCTGCCCCTGCTTGCAGCTGCCTCCATCCGGCTTCCCAGATCCGCAGGCAGATCCAGGACTCATGGGGCTGCTGGCGCCCAAGTGGCAACCCCCCGCCCATGGCTGTCTGGGACCTTCCTCCCTGAGTGTGTGGTGGCAGAGGCCATCCTGCCACTGCCTGAGGGTTGAGTCAACAGGCTCCTGGATCAGAGGCATGCGGATGTGCAAAGCTGGGCGGGAGCCTGCGGAAACTTCTCTACACAGCTATGTTGCCAGGAGCCTACAGCCCCAGGAAGGCCCAAGTCCAAACACCCAAGGCCCCACCTTGGGCTGTTCACCAGGGCTTGCTTAGTTTAGAAAGTCCCCGAAGCCTTTCTGAGGCCCAGCAAACAGCCAGGGAGCAGTAGGGCTAGAGCTGGATAGGACCACAGCAGGAAGGTCTTGCAGGAAATAGTGGCCTGTGCAGAGGCCTCCAGGGGTCCTCTGTTCTTGGAGACAAGGTGAGTAGGTTTCACAGCCTGGACACCAGAGGAAACCCTTCTCCAGAGCACACAATTGGGTCTGCACCACATCCTTGGGCACTGACCCCAGATTTCCAAGGGAGAATGGCTGAGGACCCTGCATCCTGCATAATCAGAGACTTATTGGCACGAATACGGTTCCTAAGCCCTAAGGCTCCCCTAGAAGTTCAGACCAGGCCCACCCACCCCCAGTCTTCCTTGCCCACTCAGTCGGCTTACATCTCAGTGGTAAAGCCCCCAAGACCAGCATGCCAGCCAGGCCCCCAGAACACCAGCTGCAATGCACAAGGCACCTGGAACCTGCCAGTTCCTTGAGAGCAGAGAGGGTATCTGAGTGCTATTGTGACCTCTGTGCCTACCACATAATCTCACGAATACCCATCAGCAGCTGAGCCTTCATTTTAGAAGGTATATTCCAGGACAGAACTTGATGCTCTTTAGCCCGGTGACAGGCAGTGGCTGTGGTCTTGGTCACAGAGGATGCCACGATGATCATCCCAGCAGATGAGTTCAGGGGTTGTGTGGTGACGTTTAAGAATCAACAGCTCAGATGAGAAGTCCTGAGTCAGTGAGCCTTCGCTGTCTGCAGGCTACCCTCCAGCCTACCTCAGCTGAGGTGCTCAATAAGAGACAAACCTCTCTAGGTCAACCCCACCCCATTATGAATGACTTGGGTCAGCACACTTTGGAAGGGATCCTCAAACTTGTAAGCGGGGATCACAGAGGCAGCTTGGCAGAGCCTCCGCCCACTCCCTGGCACAGTGTAGCTGCTCAGTGAATGTACAGGAATGCACAGGTACCCAGAGCAGCAGGCTGCTCTACTGCCAGGCAGCAGATTCAGGCTATAAGTGGGAAGTGGTACTTGGCACTGTACCAGGTGGCTTGCAGGCAAGACCCCCTCAGAGCTCCCCAGCCATCTGCAGACGGGGAAGGGAATCCAAAAAGAAAACATCTTTCAGCCTAACTTCATGATGAGCACCAATGGTGACTGGATCCTGTCTCAGCCCCTTCCACCCAGGAGTCTATGTGAATGGGGCCATCCAGGTGACACTTCCAATCTAGCAGGAGGGACACGCAGTGATCAGGAACCATAAAGGACAACCAGGCCACCAGGTCTGTATCCAAACTATGGGAGCTCTGATGCCTATAAAGCCCATCAGTACCCCAGGAATGCTGATCCGATTGGTGCTTTGAGCCCCAAAGGCTCCCCTGAGGTGGGAGAAAAAGGACTTGGGAGCTCTTCCCTGGATCATATCCAAGAACTGGGTCTCCACAGCTGCACAAACAGGTACTGGATGCCAAGGAGAAACTGGTACCTGGGAAGGCAGGTCAAAGGACTTGGGAGCTCTTCCCTGGATCATATCCAAGAACTGGGTCTCCATAGCTGCACAAACAGGTACTGGATGCCAAGGAGAAACTGGTACCTGGGAGGGCAGGTAAGCGTGTGGAGCCTGGCGACTGAAAGCAGACCCTGCTGCCCATAACACACAGACAGCTCCTAAGCTGTATTCGGTCCTGCCTGACAAGCAGGGCTGTAAATATTAGCTTTGAAACTTAAAATACTATAGCTAGAACACTGGAAACAGAGACGAGGGGTGGCCTGCAGGAAAGATTATGGGTGGGGGTGATGGAGGAGGGATAGTTTCAAGGCTAAGCCTTGAAAGGCTGGAGGGACAGGGAATGGCAGCTTTAATCTTCAGATTCTCTGCTCTGCAAGGGCACAGCCGCAACTGAAACCACTGCAGAGAAGAGCTGTGACCACTGAGGCTGAGCTCCTGGCTCCAAGGGGCTCTGGCTATGGTAGTGTGTGGGGCACAGACACCCACACACCCTATGCTGACAGTTCCCATGCTCAGGATCCCAGCAGCAGCAGCTTTTCAAGAAGGGTGCATGGATCTGTAAACCAGGTTAGCCATGGGCCTCAGGGCAGGGATCCCATTATTTCTATACAGTCTCAGTCACAAGCTAGGACTCCCTTGGCCTATCTTATTCTGAGCACTGGAGCCTGAAGAGCTGGGGAAATGCCGGTCCTCGGCTGCAGACACTCTCTAGGGAGAGGCCAGAGCAGCAGCACAGGTAGAGCAGGGGTGCAGCCCTGC